GTTAGAAAATTGCCATTGGTCAATCACCATAAAAACAATTGATTTGGGTAAAAAATCAACAGTGTGTGCACACTAGAATTACAGGATGAGTGTCTGATAAAAATAAAATATTAACATACTTCCAAAGTATCTCCCCATGAGAGATGTTTTAGTTAAGAGAAAAATATAGTTATGATACAATATAGGAATCTGGCAAAGATCAGATTTTAAACCAAGTAATCATAATTAATATTATCAAAAGTGATGACATAAATAGATAGCATGTGCCTCCTGGTATGATGCACTAAAATAACTTCTATTTTAATTCTACCAATAATACATGTGCCCATTAATCTTAATTTGACAATTAAGGTTTGTTTATAATAGCTAAAACTTGGAAACAGCCCAATTGCCCATCAACTGGAGACTGGATAAAGAAGATGTGTTTTTTCTATAAAATAGAATACTACTCAGCCATAAAGAATGAGAAACTAGAAACATCTATAGGAAAATGGATGCATAGTGAGGCCATACTCAAGTGAAATAAATAGCACACGCTTGTGTAAATACTGAATATTTTCTCTGTTGTGAAAAACTAAAAATGTAAATAAGATTCAAATTGTGTAATTGATAATGTGAAATAGGAAGAAAATGGCTAAAGGAGTAGGGGAAGTGAGAAGGGTAGGAGAAAGGAAATAAGGGAAAAGAAAAAATACACTCGGGAGGCTGAGGCAGGAGGATAGCTGTGAGTTCGAGACCAGCCTGGCCTACATACATAGTGAGTTCCAGGTCAGTCTCAACTACATAGTGAGACCCTGTCTCAAAAAAAAAAAAAATATGAGAAAAGAAACAAAGACTTTGTAAATAGGGAAGGATGGAGGGGGTTAAGGGAGGAAAGGGGGATGAGGAAAAATGAGAACCAAGATATGTCGTATAAAGGTACAAGATCCCAGTGATGAATGTAAGTGTACTATATACCTAAAAAGTACCAATAAACTCAATGATAATAAGTCTTAATTGTCACTTGACTGTATTAATAAACTTCTACAGAGGTGAATGGGTAATGGGGGAGTCATACTCATCAGTGGATTAGTCAATTAATGTTCATAATTGAATGTGTTGTTTGGCGTTGCCATCATTTGGAGGTAGTCTCTGGGGACATGCTTCTGGAGGGTATGTATCTCACTGGGCTCTTCCCTGGGCTGATTCTTGGCTCCCATGAAATGAGCAACTTTGTTCCACCATACCTTTCCCCCAACATGTGGCTGGCAACCATGGCCTGAGTCCTCAGAAGCCATGAACAAAAGAAGCTTCTTTAAGTTTTGTATGTCATAGTTTGGTCCAAGCAATGACTATATAACACGATAACATCAGATAAACACAAGTAATTTCCTGTATTCCTTAAAACTATTAAGACTGTGAAAAAGAACAATGGAAAAACTCTTCTAGATCAAAAAAAGACTGAAGCGCAGGACCATGCGATCTGTAGTGGAGATTAGATGCCATTTGAAGAATGACTTCTAATATAATATTGGAAACTTGGGCATCAAGTGACCAAGTAGTCACAGCTGCCCATTATGAGCTATGTTCTTCCAGACCACCAGGTCATAAAGTCCATTGTTATCAACAATAATCCATAGTAAGAGGGGAATAGGAATATTCAAAAGTTTCATGGTCAGAGAATCCAGTACCCACATTTTCCATCCCTATTGTATCCGTGCCCCTCCTAAATACAGAGCTCTAGCCACATGAGAGAATCTTTATGTTCAGATGCAGAGAAGGAAAAGGCTTGAACTTGATTCATGGACATTCTATACATTGTTTTCAGGGCCAAATATAGATGTTGACTTTGGTTATGGGTTGAAAACGCATGCTTTGGAAACTTAATCCCAATGTAACCGTGTAGGAGGTAGACCTTAATGACAGGTGCTCTTGGGTCATGAGGGCTCCAACTTCACAAATAGATTAATGTTGATTATAAAAGGACTAATAGCTACTAATTCCATTTCTTGGTATCTTGTGCATGTCCCGGGGCCATGTGATGCTTTCTGTCATGTTAAACATGAAAAGGCCCCTATCAAAACAGCCACTTGATCAACTTTCAGCCCCCAGAACTATAAGAAGTGAATTTCATTTCTTTATAAATTACATATTCTCTAGTATTCTGCTGTGACAGCACAAAACAGACTACGGCAGCTGTAATACATTGCTTCACCCAGAAGTTCTTGAAAATATTGGCAAGGAAAAACATTTCCAATGGGAAAAATTTGGGGCATGCCCTTTATGGAAAAAAGATGTGGTCCAAGATTAGAATGTGTATATGAACTCATGGGCATTGACAAAGTACTTAAAAGCGTCTGAGAGGAGAAAGATCAGTAGATCGAGAACAGAGTAGAAGCATGTGAATGGATAAATATGTGGTGGGGGGTAGTATGAAGATCTTTATAGCAAACAATCAGACAGACAAGAAGAGTTAACTGGTTGGTAGCAGCAAGCTTCTATCGTGGCCATCCCTGTACTCGCTGCGTGGATCTGAGAATGAAGTAGCCATGGTGCTAAGGATGGAAACAGTGCATGGACTAAAACGTGGTCTTGTATTTACAGAAACTGACCCATCTACTGGCATGACTGAATTTCAGCCTGCAAGCAACGGAGTCCAGATACCAATGGTGAGCCCTTGAATTGACACATCCTCTATTAAATAAACCTATTGGCACACGTGTTATCAAGTACTTTCTCCTGACATTTTCTTGATCTATTCATCTGTTGTTGGGGACTTTAGGCCATTGACATAGCTTAGATTTTGTGAATTGGGTTGTAATAATTACCCATATTTGTGGCCCATAGAAACTGAGAGACAATAAATGTTTAGTATTTTGAGTTGCTGAATGTGGGGAGTAATTTTTATGCAGCAACAGATAACAATGCAGGAATCATTTTTAATCTGGGATCCATTAAGCACAGGGAAGGAGGGAAAATGTTTGAAAAAGTAGTGAGTTATTACCTCAAAAAGAACTTGGATAAAGAAGCATAACTTGCATAGCCCAAAGTCCAGTAGTGCTCTAGAGTAAGTTTTAAGATGCAGAAACAGAGCCAATAATACACAGTTGGATACTTTGCTGCTCAAAGTATGACTTCTGCAAAAAGTGTCAAAGAAACACAAGTATCTATTGACTATCAGGTAAATTGTTTCACTTACCTTTACTATTTCACACTTAAAAGTAGATTCCTATTTTCTTCTCTGATCATTTAATAAAATTTACTGATAGGTATTTGATCGATCACCTAAAAACTAAAAATTATCAGGAGAAATACAGTACTCATTGCTAAAGTGCACTGACTAAATTACAGTGTAATTTTGATATAAACATTCATGTATGGAACTTTTCTATATCTTTTGCAAAAGCAAACCAAAGATACTCATTAAATTGCCAATTATCAGGCATAATTTGGCTCATATATTTTTTTCTTCAGATAATTAAAACCATACATTGGATGTGTGAAAGCTCACAGAACATCAGAGCCCACTTGGAATTATTAATACATTCCAGATGCTGGGTACATGTCCCCTACCTAAAACATATAAAAATACATTATCTGTATGTTTTTTTTTTGTTTGCCTTTTGTTTTGTGTGCTTTATTTTGATGTTCTATGTGTTTTTGCAACATTCTAAGCTGTCCCAACTCTTTTTTAAAAACAGCCGTGATAGTGCCACCCACTTATGAGGCATCCCAATGAGATTATATGGGCAATTAAAATGTCAGAATGCTGCTATACAAGTTGATAAATAGCTATTGCCACCAGACCACCAACTCTTTTCATAAAACTCTTTTCCCACTTTCTCCCAGTTTAGCAACTAAAAGATAATGCTGGCATATGTGGGGCTTCCAGCCTCACCCCGCACCACCAGTTCCCACCCAATGATTTGTGACTGCCCCATGCCATCCTAGTACAACCTTCAGATATAAATGGTAAATATTTAGATAAACTGTCCTCATCCAGTATGTTCCTTCGCTTGGTGTGAGCCAGGTTATAGGACTTCCAAAATTCTGCATTATGAAAAATGGTCATCATAAAGGAGGAGATAAACCTGATCTGAGAGTGTTTATTGAGAAGCACTCAGAGACTGAGCAAATGGTTTGGAGCTTGAGTCTGTAGTAGAAAGACCCCAAATAACCACCCATCAAATGATACCAGAGAAAGTCCTGATTACATACCCTTACCATTTCATGATTCTACCAGTGGCCAGCCCAGTTGATTCCCCTCCTGAGCGAAGAGAAAGAAAGAAGGTGGCATAATGAGGACTGAGAAGAGAAATAGCCATTTGGACAGTAGAGGAGTGAACAAACTTTGGACTATAAGGAGTAGAACTAAGTAGCCTATAAAAGGGTTTCTAAGTAGAGCTGAGGGTCTATATAGGGATTGTGCTCATGAATGTAAAGTGGGACCTATCAGCATGATTGTGGGATTTTCCTTTGTGTCCCAGCAGTATCCATCTGCTCAGCTGTAGGCAAAAGGAAGGCAGATAGAACCTTGGGTAAGTTTGGCCAGCCAGCATGTGCTGCAGAAAAAGAGAAAACCGAAGTTCAATACTTTTAAAGGAGCAATGTCAGTGACTATCAACTTTCTCATCACTGGGACACAATATGCAGCACCCACAGCTTACAGGACAACAGGCTTAATTTGCTCACGGTTTAAGTCCATGAACAGCTGGATACAAGGCAGAAACACCATGGCAGAAGGGTGTGGCGGAGCTGCTTAACTCATGGTTTCCAGGAAGCAGAAGAAAGAGGAGCAAGAGGCAAGAGAGCAGATATAGACCACAAGGCCACATTTCTATGACCCACCCAGACATACTTAACTAATGTTTTACTAATGCTTTACTAATCTGCTAGGTGTTTCTTAATCCAATCAAGCTGATATATCAGGGTTAATGGTTACAGTAATCAATCTTGGAAAAAATCGTTTTGGGGGCATTATATAATCCCAACATCAAGAATTCTGATCCAGTTCTATTGACTTGGAAACTCATGCTTCTTTCTTCATGATGATGCTTATTTATTTATTGGGGGGGTTACTGGGATTTGATCTCAGGACCGTGTGCTTATGAGGCAGGTGGTGGCAGGAATGAGCTAAATCCCCAGCCCCTGATGCTTCTTAAACTTGACACAGCATAAAAACTACCTGAGAATTGTTATGAATGCTGATATCTGTGCTGTCCTCAGAAATTCTGGGACACGGTACTTTTTTGTAATAGGTAAACAGGGAATGCTGATTGGAGGGGGAGTCTGTGAACCAGTCTATAAAAAAATACTGTGTTATAGGTGTTTTATGTGAAAATGCTTGCGAGTGGGAGTAAGCAGGTGTGCCCCGGGTTTCCCAGATAACTTTTTCCACTCTGCACCATGAAATGATGATATTCCAAGACTATGGGTGTCTCAATCAAATAACATAACTAAAAATGAGCTCCCATGATGAGTGATGCTGAAATGGGGGAGGCAATAAATTCAGCAAATTTATTTTTTTCACTTCCCCTAAGTTCCTTGGAACACACAGAAACACTTCAGTTTGGAATATGACATCAGCATGGCTTCACATCCCACGCATCCGTTTTCCAGAAAGCCAAAGAACTGTGTTCTGTTGGGAGAGAAAAACATGCATATTCTAAGAGATACAATCACTTCTCAAGTGTGTTAGATACAACAAACTTAATTACATGAATGAGACCATTTAATGTGTAGTTTAAGTGATGGAAGATGGCACAGAGGCTGACAAGGGACTTCTCTGCAAGAGAGACAAGAGAAGGCTTTGTGAACTCTGACGATCAAAATTTAATAAAAAGTTATCAGCTCTTTATTTATCCTCAAGTATACTAATTGCTGCAACTACCTGGAAGCCATAAGAAAGAAGAGCCTAAAATATACATTAATAAAGTTCTGATTTTTTAAAAAAGTACATCCTTTTCTAGTAATTTACTGACTTATACAAACTTACTGTACTTTGTCAATTATAGTATTTAACAACTCAGCAGGGTTCTGCTACCTTTTGGACAATAGCAATTTATTCAGTGCACTGCTAAGCATTTGTAGTTGTAATGCTAATAATGCTATTGCTAATCATGCTAATAATGTTATTTCACATCATGTGTAACATTTCTAATAATCAAACCAACCCTATGGAGTGAGTGTTATTTAATTAGTTATCATTTCTTTTTCCTTCTCTAGCAGTCACTTCTCACATAAATCTCTTCTTAGTTCCGTCTACACTCAACTGTCCTTTCTCTGCTGCCATCGTAACATTGTCATCATTCTTGGAAGATTTCTAAACCTAGAGCCAACAATAGCTTCAGCTGTGAGCTAGTTCTTCCTTCCTAGCAACAAAGATACCTACAGCCTAAATCCAAGGTTTGCATTTAGTTCTATTGAGCTGTTTTTTGTTGCTGTTTTTGTTTTTTTGGTACCAGGGATCAAACTTGGGTCCTCAGGCTTGTGAGGCAGGCAGAGGAACCACTGAGCTAAATCCCCAGCCCATGCATTTAGTTCTAAATGGTAGCTGTTATATTCTCTTTAATCTCACATAAACATCATCTTCCTTAAAATAATTTGCTGTATTGAATACTTTGCTCTAAAGAATAGTTTTCAGATGAGGCATTGATAAAGGAAGAAAACAACATTAAGAGATCTATAAACAATTACTACCACCATAAATTCTTTCTAATTTGGGACAAAGAGTTATTCAATATTTGATTCAGTATTATTATTCAAGCCTAACTTAGAAGTATACAAGATGGTAGAATTCACCTTGGCATTCACTGAGTGAAACCACGATCCTGAGTTATGAGGAAAAAAAATTGGGGAGTAAAATATTGATATTGGCTAACCTTGCTTTACCTGATGGTTGCTCCCTGTCAGCCCTCTTTTTAAAACTTCAGGGGCCAAACGGATATGGCTTCTTGGAGTCATTATATAACAAAAGTGCTGCTTGTGGTGAGGACCGAGTGGAAGTCCCCACTGGACATTCCAGGGTCCACTTACCTTTGAAACATTTGGGGATTTCAATGGTGCCATCTATGCACTGAGCCTCCTCTGTGTAACTGCACTTCTTCTCTTTATTTTTGCAGAAGAAAGACACTTTTTCACCATGTAGCATTCCATTCTTAAATTTTTCCTGGAGCTTTACTCTCTCTCCTTGGTACAGCACGGTGGCTTTTTTAACAGATAATTTACAAGACGCTGAAAAAGAATATCTGTAGTCAAGACTTAAAAGTCTAGCGCATCTTTCTTAGATAGAATATGGGGGAGTAACTTTTGTTTGGGTTTTTTTGGGGGGGTACTGGGGATTGAACCCAGGCCTTTGTGCATGCCATCATGTGTCCCCCAAAATAAAACCTAACCAGAAAATAAGCCCCAGTTAAGACTGTCAGCCAGATGGATGCATTAGTAGCACACAACACAGAAATATTGAATTATAAAATAATAATATTAACATATAGTTAAATATAACAAATAATATTGTTGATATTAATGTTTAAAATAAGTAACAATAGGAATTAAAATTAAGTACTTGTAAATATCCAAGTGGACACCTTTGGACAAGAAATAAATAGCTATGTAAACGGATGAACTTGAGACTTATTGCCCAATGACCAATCGAGTATGAACACCATGCACAAATAATGTACTTATTTTAAAACAAACATGCCTAATATGAATCTTCATAATCCAATACCTCATGTGTTATACTATAACATACTTAATGCACTTATGTGAAATCAAGAAACATTTTCTGAATTTTGCTGCCTGAAATTTTTCATTGCTTTGTATGAACCATCACTCTTAACTGCCATCATTTTTGTCGCCACACCTGTCTCGTAAGTCTTCAATTACCACTTGATTTAATGGAAACTGTGTGAGGCCTGGCCTGCAAGAGGTCCTGATTTGGGTGAAGAATTCACACCATGAAATGCGTTGTGTTGTCAGTGCACTATGAGCAGGCCACCTGGACAAGAAGCGCTCACTTAAGGAGAGCTTTATTGCTGGACATGAGAGATTGGAGCCAAAGATTGGACTCCAGGAAACGGAGTCACAAGAAATTCAGGCTGGAATTTGGGATTTAGAGAATGATGACGATGTTCCAGAAGAAGATGACATGACTATATTTGAATAAATGTAGATTGTTATATCTGAATAAATGTAGATTGTTGTATACCAAAAACAAAACATTCCCTGAAAATAAGCCCTATTGCATATTTTGGAGCAAAAATTAGTAAGACTCAGTCTTCTTTGGGGGGAAATATAGTAGGTGAACACACTACCACTGTTACATTCCCAGCCATTTTTATTATTTTGAGACAGAATGTTACTAAATTTCCCAGGCTGCCCTTGAACTTGCACTTCTTTTGGCTCAGCCTCCCAAGTGCCTGGGATTACATGTATGTGCCACCATGCCCAGCTTTAGAATATAACTTTTGAGGCAGTAGATGAGTACACCTGAAGCAAACTGATCAAGACAAGAGGATTCTGAAAATGTACACAGTGAGTAATGTCAGTGTGATTGCTAATCGCTGTTCCCTACCACCAGAAGTATTACTCATTCTGAAGTGGCTTTTTCTTTCCCTACAGCATCAGTGCAAGGTCAGAGCAGAAGCACCACATTCTCAGCGTCAGTGAAAATGAAATTCCTTCATGTAAGCTTTTGTGTGGATGCACCAGCTCATTTGAAGGTGGTAGCCCCACCTTCGCTCCCAGAGCCAGCCAAGGGAGCAGCCCACAGCTAATGATGGACTGATAAAGGGATACAAACAGCAGAACACCTTGTCTCTTGCTAGGATCAACTCTTGGAGAGAATTCCTGCTCCAGAACTGCTAGTGGGATCAAAGTGAAGCCTTATGGTAGCTGAGACCACATCCTTGTTTAAAACATACCAACATTCATATCACGTGGGAATTGGGTTCAAATGCAAATTCCCAGGTGCCATCCCACATCTACAGAATAAAAAAAAAACTCTGAGGGTAGAGCCCAGAAGTCTATGTTTAAAGAAGCCTTCTAGGGGATTCAGATGCACAGTGAAGTTGGAGCACCCATGTCCAACCCTATCTCTCGTGCTACATATTCGGAGACAATCAATCAATTGCATTTGAATGCTTGTCTCAGAATTGCCTTCTAGGGGATTCCAGTCTAAGACACTGGTCATTCATCGTTTTGCCTGATTTGCCCAATTACTTTTTCTTTTTTTAAACTGGCTAGCCCATAGAAACTTGAGCAGAGAGGCAGTGGTACACTGCTATTCTTTGCATAAGCATGACACTGACTGGATCAAAAAGAAACACCTGACTCAGGAGCACCCATCATCTTAGGGAAAAGTTGTCAGCTGATAGCAAATCCTTTAGCTGAGAAGTCCTACTTATAGAATCAAACCAAGATCAGGTAAGAAGAGAGAGACACAGATATGGCAGAACCCACTGAGATAGGGGAAGAGTAGCAGTGGTTCTTGACTTTAAGTTTCATTCTTCGGAAGTATCATTTGCATTTCATTTCCTCCTCTGTGTATGTCCTTTTAATAAACAAACTCCCATTTCCTTGAGCTAGCTTGGATGGGCAATTGGCTTTTGCAACAAGAACCTTGACTAGACAGAGAAAAAAGATGTATGCTCATGGACAAAGACTTAAAAGCAAATTTAGGAAGCCTCAAGGATTGTGCACCATATTATTAAGGCTTACAAAGAATCTGTTTATTTCCTACAGCTGAAACTCAAGCAAGCTTCCTAAGGATGAGGCCTCCCCAATGTACACGTAAGTCCTAAAGTCTTCCACATGACAGTAGTTCTTCAGCAGGTCAAGCAATGAATAGAAAAAACAAGAAAATGCTGGGTAGAGATGATTCACCAAATAAATTCAGAAACCTTGTAAGATCTCACCCCAATTTCCATACCTTTGCAGCTTGGCTGGGCAGACCAATTTCCCAGTTTGGTGCATTCAACTTCTTCCGGGCCATCCAGGCTATACGTATCGTGGCAACCATACATGGCTTTATCCTTATACAAAAGAACTGGTTTTGCAGCATAGTTTACAAATCCATTTTCTGGTCTTGATGGGAATGGGCATTTTACTTCTAAAAAGTTTGTTAAATAAGACATTAGTAATAAATAGTGTTGGGTCAACTCTATTCTGAGTGTTTCAGTGATTGAAATGCAATTTATAGGTACTTCATGCTGAATTATGTTCTTACTCTCTTACATTTTTAGGACTGGGTTTTTAAAACAAGAAACAACAATAGTCTGAAAGTAAAATAATGATATTCTACTAAGTTCTTTAGGTTTTCATGTATATAACTTACTTATTGCAGATTTATTTATTATTTATTGCAAATTTCCAAGTAGTCTAAGATGATGGGTTTGAAAGCAAAGGGGAAAATATTTTCTTCACTCAATAAACTGTGAAATTAAAACACAAAGACTGTACCCCCATGCATATTTGGTGTACTATTTTTTTTGGTTTTGAAATGTTAAACCAATATTGTCATTCTTGTCTTCAGATTATGCATGAAGACAGCATGAAATATGAGAAAAACAGTGACTGAGGTACAAGAAAACAAGTGACAAATACTTCTAGTGACTTCATTGCAAGCACACAAGGCTAGAGCTAGGAGCATAGTGTTCTTGGAAAGTAGTTTGATGAGGTAGCTAAGATTACAGGCTCCAGAAGCTGACTGCTAGGTTCAATTTTGGCTCTGTCGCACAGTGAATTAAAAAGTACTTTAATACTATTAAAAATATAGTGGCTTTTCCTTTCTTTTTCTTTCTTTTTTTTTTTTTTTTTTTTTTTTTTTTTTTTTTTTTTTTTTTCTTTTTGGTACTGGGTCTCAAACTCAGGACCTTATGGAAAGTTCCTTTCTATGAGGTTAGCCAGCTAATAAATGTAGAAGGAAAGTAACCATTTTGCAACCACCATTGTCATATTTGATAGAGCCAAGGATCATCAATGAACTCTAAAATGCCTGCAGAGATCAGATATTCATATGCGCCAATAGTCTCAAAGTATCACCCATGGGTTGTTTACTAATTCCAAAGAAAAAGGGTTCCTTAACCAAAAGGTGATCTGGCACATCCTGCCTGACCAGGGGACCACATTCAGTATGAACAATGGTGTGCCCACTGATACTGTGTGCTTTCTGCTGTTACAGAAGTATTCTTGATGAAAACATTTAGCTTGAATCTAATCACAGGCATATACCCAAGCAAATTAGATTATAGACATTCTACAAACAAATAGCCAGTGCTCTTCAAAAAATGTCAATGGAAGACAAGAAAAGACGCAGCAAATTATTCTTAGAGAGAACTAAATAGAAGGTGTGATTCTTAGTTACATGTTTCATAAAACAAAACACATGTATAAAGAATACTTCTGGATCATTTGGGAAACTCTGAATCTGAAGTAAATTTTGCATTTTTACTGATTTCATATATTTTATTATTATTTATGTTATTATTGTTAATAATTCAAAATATGCTAAATGGCTTGGGAATGGTGACAGTATAAAATGTCTTTGTTCTTACGTTCATCCTGGCATGCTTATGAGTAACTAATGTGTACAATTCATTTTGATATGATTTGGGGAAAATGAAGTATTGGTCTATGGAGAAAGAGAGAGCTAATGTCCACGTTAACACTTATATTCAGCCGAAGCATTGAAACAAAGGAAAAAACAACTTACTACTTAGAATTGGGGAGAATTAAGGGAGATGACATGTACACAGAAGGAAGCCAGTGGCTGGGCTACCATGGTGCTAGTTATCGTTACTGGTTATTCCCCTGTGCTAAAATTCACCTATGTTTTGAATCACTGGGTACATACCCATGATATCTAGAGCTAGAGAAGTTTAGGGCCCTTAGACTTACTCCTTGCATGCATGATCCCATCTATAATTTGTCTATTTGTTGTGTGGCTGACAAATTCAAGATAGTGGTGATAGATCGAGTTAAAGGGGGAAGAATTTCACACTTTTTAAAAGAAAATTAAATGTTTCTGCAATTTTTAAACTAACATAATGATTGCATAGACATAACAATTGGATGGCAACTCCGTTTTTGTCTTCCTCTCCTAATCCAGGCTTCTCTTCACCAACCTCACAGAAGTAGTCAGCTCTCTATGGATATACTCTGTCCTATCACACCTCTCTGACTTGGTGTTAGCTGTGCCCCTATGTGCCATGTCTGGCCCTCATTCTCCCTTCTTCCTCTAAGGCCCATTTCAAGGACCACTGCTTCTGGGAGCCCAGGAAGCTCCAAACAATAAAATACAAGATATTGAGTTAGCTCTGGGTCAGAAGCAGATTTGATTCAGCTGATATCCCCAATCCCTAGCACACTGTCTGGTGTATGGTAGACACTCAAACATTTGTTGAATGAAGTGATTTGAAGTAATTTTCTAACATTTTTACAAAATGGGTTTCTACATTCCCATAATTATCTTGCCATCTCATTCACGTACCCCTGCATTCTGGTAATTCAGTCCAATTCCCATGGGCTGTGCAGGTAATTGTATCATTTCCAAACATCGCATGATGTGGCAAACATTCAAAGACTGCTGTATCCCGATAGAGGGAGTTGTTTCCAGCTGATGGCTTATGCACTCTGAGTGTTGCAAATTTAGGTACTGGTGGTGGAGGGCAGGTTATGGCTGGAAAAAGAAAGAACCATCATTTCTATTAGAATAGGTGTGGTTTTAAAATATACTCTTCCCAGGGGCAAAAGAGAGAGAGAGAGAGAGAGAGAGAGAGAGAGAGAGAGAGAGAGAGAGAGAGAAGGTCCAAAGAGCAAACTTGAGAAAATTGCAAAATTTGATCCAACACCCAGGGTAAAAACAATTATAGATGCAAAATAAGAAAATGTGATACACAAATTAGATGTTCCAACCAATTACAAAAACTAAAAAGAAGGAAAAAATTAGGTCATGCCACTGCAAATCTGCCTTTTACAATAACTTGATGGTTAGATTTCCATACAAATCTTGGTTCTAAATGCTACCTTGGAAGATGTTTCTGGATGCAGAATTCATGGAGGACATTGCGGAAGGACCATGATGAAATAACGACTAGGGATGGCACATAATACCAAGTTATCTGTGACTCCTGAGCTCCATGCTAGTTAAGTTTGTTGGTTCAGTGTATTAAATATCTCCTGTTTTGAACATGCATGTATGAGGCTTGTATTTGTAGCTTCAATCACCCAGAGGCGTAGAAGTGGCCCATCACCCAGCCCAGACCAATACGGCGCATCAACAAGGGAAAGTTACAGTACTAATATAAAGGATAGTGCAGTCCAAACTGTGACTTAACTTGAATTCTCTCGGTCCTTAATTCTCAAAGTAGGATCCACGGCCCGCCAGCTTGTTGCTGAGGACCTTGTTACAAATGCAGAAACTTAGACCCCAACCGAGATGCGTGACTCAGAATCTACCCTTAAACAGGATGCGTAGGTGATTCATATATACATTAATGTACGAGAAGGATTGAAGCTAAGGTGGCCTTTCTATTTGCATCTAAAAAGAAAAAGTTAATTTACATAATTGGCATAAAGCTGCTTAGAAAGAAAACTATAAAAACCATAAGGATTCCTTCAGCTGAGTGAAAAACTCAATTTATCCTTAACTCCCCCACCCCTATTTTTGGTCAGTTTTCATTGAATTGGGATTTGGAACTGCTTTATTTCCACTTGCTTTTTCTGGGACAGATCTCCCTGAAAACCTAAAGAACCATAGCTATTATTCTGATACTTACGTCTTCTTGGGCAAAATGGAACTTACATAAATCACAAGTCAGAAAATATGAAAATTTTGCTTCTCTAGGGAAGCAAATCCCAGAGATGCCCCTGGCTGTTCAGAAGGTCACTGAGCATAACCAGAACAAGTTGTCAGTAACTTTTAGAGGAACCTCAGTACACTCTTAGGTGTAATAGGTGCTTAGATGGGCTTTTAGCTTACTGTAAATATTATTTTTGATTTGGCTGGTTGGTTGGTTGATTGGTTTTTTTATGCTATATTATTTGTCTCACTCTCTTGGAGAGAGGTGTCACCTCTGACTTTATAACAGTGCTGAGAGCAGAATCTGGCATATCCTAGATTCACAATTCACACTTATTAAAGATGTGCATGAATGAATGAATGAGAATCCAGAGTGTAAGGAAGAGGTTTGATTTCATTGTTTACACATCTCTTCGTCAAATGGTGACAGCCTCTGAGAGACTAATGCTACGCATATCCAAGCCTTTGCCAAAACATTGTAGGAGCTTTGGAGTTAACAAACCCAGCAATCACTGGCTCCACAGGTGGAAGATACAAAATGCATTCAGGAGTAAAATGTTTCCCTCTGTCTTTCCAGTGTGGGTTGTTCCATCTTCCAAAGCAGGGCAATATTAGAATGAATGTTTCCCATACGTGTGGTCAACCATCTTACTGAGTCAGGACTGAGGGGTTTCTGGGATGTGGGACTGTCCATGAGAAAAGCAAAATAGCTCTACACAAGCCAAGTGGCATCCTACCCATAAGAGGGACCAATAGACTCACGAGCACAGACAGGAAGCTTGGGGCTCCATTTTCCTTCCTCAGTGCACTTAGCTGAATTAGTTCCATTTAGATAATATCTGAAAAAGAAAAATTTAGTCTATCAATCTGTAAAATAAACTATTGGTGCTGTTGCGAATGTACTGGAGATTGAACCTCAGGGTTTGTGCACGCTATGCATAAGATCTCCCATGAACTACAGCGCCACCCGATGGCCTCAAACTCCTGAGCACAAGCAGCCTTCCACCTCAGCTTGCCCAGCAGCAAGGTTTCACCACACCTAGCAATACTATTGACTACTTTCCCATCTTAGGGTGCTATTTTCCTAAGGATCCTAACACTCATCCTAGGGCCCATAGAGTGCTCCAGACAGTGCTGCAGGTTTCCAGTGGAAGTTTCCACAGCTGGTGAGTACAGAAGCTTTACCCCTAAATCCCTCATTTCCAACCATTTTACCAAGTTAGCTGCTTCTTACATAAAACAAAGAACCACTTCTCTTTCAGGGTGACAAAAGTGACTCAAACTGAATTACCTCTTCTCTAATTTTCTTAGTACCTACTAACACAAATGTGTAAAAAGAATGAAGTCTATTTCCAATGAAAATGTAACACATACAAACAAAAGAAGATGCAACATTATGTCACTGAAGCCAATTTATTAAAGGTCATTTGTCATCAGATCTACCAGTAAACTGATGCTTCTGAAGAACTGTTTTTCTTTTTCATATATAGTGTTTCTTAGTCTCCGTTCCCAAACAAGAATCCTCAATAAGGTTGTGTTCCAGTGTACAGCCAATGTGCTCTAACAGTGTCACAGTGGATCTTTTTCTCCTTGGGCAGATGCGCTATATGACTAACCATAAAAGCTTTCTTCCTGGGCATGTTGGGCTGCATTAAGCAAGGATTAAGAGAACTATGTTTTATATCATCATACTCATGCTTCTCTATAGAATTCTGGGGACTACCAGGTTGGTTGACATCAGCCACATAATTAAAATACAAGCTTTAGTCCAATATATTTAATCTTATCTCAAGATATCACCCAGAGATGGTAAAGAGTTATCATTCCATTTTAATCATTTCAATGTACCTCCTCAGATGAGAAAATAATCAGGATACAGAAAAATTAGATGAAATGCATATTTCAATAATATTAGTTGTTATTTTCTACACGCCTTACCCCACCTTCAACACCATTGTAGAGTATATGATTTGCATTTAGCAAGACAAATCTAAAGGCTAGAAACAAAATATGGATAAGTCTTGAGTCTGGCTTAAGGGCACAGAAGTTTACTCTCTGTCAGCTCCTTCATCTCATGAAATTCCTTACCCAGGGTTACAAGCAAAACTGATCGTGTTGGGATATTCAAAAGTTGTGTAGCGTACAGCTCCGTTGTCTAAGATTCCAGCAAAAGGACACACTCTGGCTGTGATTCAAAGAGAAAAAGGTAAATTTCTGTTTGGAGAATTTTCCATTAAAATAAAAATATATAAACTCGTGTCTATCCCTTGATCCAATAACCCTACTAGTAACTATTCTAAGGAAGACATGTAAAATAAGGTAAATGATATATGCACTAGTACTGCTGGTAACAGAATTTGGACAGTCTAAATGCTCCCTTTCAGGGGACTGCATTTGAATCAGTCAACAGCTGAACTACTATGCAGCCAATAAAATATGAATTATGAAGGCTATAAAGACAACAAATTTTTATGATATGTAGCTGAAAATAGAAAAATATAAACTTGTGCATACTTTATGCAGTGATGCAAAAATATACATGTGGAAAATAACATTGTTCATATTTCAGATGTATTGATGATTAAAGCAAACTGATGAACCAAAATGATGCTTCCGTGTTTTTTTTTAAGATAATAGGGTTTCACCTTGCAGTTCAGGCTATCCTGGAGGTATCCCAAGCTGGCCTTGAACTCACAGCCATCCTCCTGCCTCAGATTCCCAAGTGTTGGGATTATAGGTGTGCACCACCATGCCCAGCCGCTTCAGTGATTGTTAATTACAAATTATATTTAGAACTCGGTGGTTAAGCACATGATAAACATGTGTGAGGCCTTGGGTTAGCAGTTTGGATTTTCTTAATAAAAAGCATACTAGAATAACTTGCATGAGCGCATATAGTTCTGACAATGGTCATGTCTATGTGATTAAAATAATGAGAGCTCAGATAGCTCCATGAACAATTTCTCCCTATTTCACAGTATCTATAATACTTTTTTTTTTTTTTTTGGTACTGGGGATCGAACGCGGGTCCTTGCGCTTGCAAGGCAGGCCACCAAACCGCTGAGCTAAATCCCAGGCCTCTATAATACATTTTGATCCTTCTTTACACCTTCAGTTTCTCACACCAGAGAGACAATGTGATATTTACATATGTGTTCAATTTACTTCACTTAAGAGTATGGTCTAACGGTGCATCTATTTATCTACAAATATCTCAAGTTTATCCTTCTTTATGGCTGAGTTATACACCATTATACGGAAAAACCATGTCGTTTTTATCCATTCATCGGTTGATGGGTATTTGAGTTTCGTTTGTTTTGTTTGTTCAAGTGCCTTTTTGGTATCGGTTTTATGTTTCAGAGCCCTTCTACTTGTCTTTTAACTTCTATGTTGTTGTTATTATTATTATTATTATGCACCAGGGATCTATCTCAGGACCTTGTGCTTGAGAGGCAGGGATGGCACCACTGAGCTAAATCCCCAGCCTACATTTCTATATTATTTTTTAACTTTGCATTATTTAACTTTAACTTGTATATTGCTTTCTTCTCCTTTGATTAGTCCAGAGCTCTTTTTTAAACCTCCCCTAGCTCAGGCTTTCTCTTACCTAGGTAGACCTATTGCTTCTACTTTCCTCTTGCACGGAGAACCTCCCACACCCCCTTCTCTCTCCACGGTCCTCCACCATGCAGCCTTCCGTAGCCCTCTGCATCCTGATCACAGCAGGGTGTGTCATTCCTCCCAAAATGTTCAGAACCCAGTGAGGGGAGAGAATATGAGAGGAGGCACTGACTTACGTGTACATTTCAGAGTATTCAAGGGCCAGGTTCCACTGAAAGGACAGGTAAACCTTCTCATCCCTCCCCGGGACACATAGCCTGGCTGGCAGTAGTATACTATCTGCTCTCCAGGCTCATAGGATGATTTCAATGGAGTAATCGTGGAAAATGGCACCTCCTCTGGCTGGGGACAAGCTGAAATAGAGCACAAAGCAGGTAGTTAAGAAATCTCTACTCATAATTTTAAACCCAGTTAGCCCATAAATGAAAAATATTTACTGCTAACAGTAATAAGTATAACAAATCCAAATCCACACCAAACATTTCATATGCAGTATCTCATCTAATTTCTTCAACAACCATTTGGAGGTGGTACTACTATTATCCCCATATTACAGGTCAAGATACTGAGGCTTAAATTGGCCAAATACCTTGGAGGAGCTTAAAACGTGACAGTACTAAAAAATGAGTATCAATTCAATCTGTCCAGTATCCACCCTGAATTTAAAGTTATAACTACTGACTTCTGACATATACTAGGGGCTTGGCTATATTAATTATTTTTCAAAAGCAGAAGTTACTTACTTGATCCTGCGATAGCAACATGGCACAGAAAACCTGAGAGCAAGACAAGCACTGGAGAAATCATTGCGAATGATTCACACTGGCACCTTGAGGGTGGTTTTCCCTGCTAAAAAAGAAGTTGCTAATATAAAAGTGCTTAAACATTAAACCACTTTTTGAGTGTACTTTTATCTTTGTAAATAGAAGATAAAGTATCATAATTGAAAGGAACTTTGAGACGTACATTCTTTAATCATTTACTCCACTTGTGTGAGTCTATTGGGAAATCTTTGGTAGGTGGTTTCTTCTTTTCATCCTCTTTGGTGGACGATGTGCTTCTTAATGGCGCAAAACAGTTCATTACTACATCCCACAGAAGCCTGATAATTGCTGGATCAGTTGACTTCTCACTCTCCATCTGTTGCTGTCTGTATGATGTACTCGGATCACCAGAAGATTGAAGCCTGTGTTTTATCCCCTTTATTACATAAACTCAGGACTGCCACTTACTTTCTGTGCCTCCTTTACACTGTTCCAAAATGGTGCTCCAATTCCATCTTTAAGGAAGTACCTAGATCTTTATTGCCCCAAACACATGCTTGACATCTTTTCTCACAAATTCTTCCCATTTCCCCTTCATCCTCATCAGAAACAATATCCTCCTTGTAGCTCTAGTTGCGGCCTTAGAGCTGTCTTTGAATCCTCATTATTCACTCAGTCAAATGAGCACAAACTCATTATCATCCATTCATACTATATTTTAAATCTGTCTAGACAGATTTCTGGATCTGTTTTAGGAATTAGAAACTTGACTCAAACTAGGATGCAAAGACGAAAAGAGTTTGAGCAGGAAGAGAGAGAATGTGCCGACAGTAATAATGTTGTTCTGGAGGACCCAGAGGGGAACATCCAGGCATCTGCAGTTGTCTATCTAATGCATCACCTCCCCCAAGAGACTAAATATACAAATTGATAAAGCTGAACCATACAGGAAAATAACAAAACCACAAAATTCAAAATCTCAGTAACAACAAGTCCAGAAAGCTAAATCACAACCTGTGCAGCAATTGGTCCAACAAGAGAAAGCCAAACATATTCCTAACCAATCACAAAGGATGTCCCACATTTACAAGCCCACCTTAATCTTTCCCATGTCAACCACCAATCGGGGCATACTTGAATCCTTCTTTTTTGTTTTCTACTGTAATATTTCTTCTGCCTTGAGTCTCTGCCAAACACAAGTGATGTGGGCTGACTGCTTTTCTATGCCAAGTTTTGAATAAATAACTTCTGCTTGTTCTTATTTGGGTGGTCTTGGTTTATATCCATAGGTCTTAAAGTTCCTTGAGACACAGCACTTGAGAAATGCTCATGTCAGGCAATGTATTCTTAAATCATGCTTCTAATGAACACAGTATTCAACGATAACAACAAAGTGTATTATCATCAAGATAAAATAACAGTGATCCTTCTCCTTTTGTCCTTCTAACAAGAAAGATTCTTGTTGGCTGGATAACATCCAGGTTCTACTTTAATGTGAAGAATTTCTCCATGGGCGGAGAAAAGAAAAAAAACTAATGAAGTCAAGAGAGACTAAGTTGTGCTACATAATGATAATCTAAGGTTGATAGCATATAAGGCTGGACCTCAGGAAAAGAAAATTTGCAAAGAGAGTGTTGAAATTGAAAAGAGAGTATTTCTTTCAGAAGCTATAGACTGAGTGATCAAAATTAAGAAGAACTGTGACAGCAAGAAGGTTATTTGGTGATGTTTGCTAATAGCTATATTCTTTGCATGAGGGAATTTTCTGGAAGAGAAAATGTTTTATATCTTATTTTAAATTTTACTTGGGTATTTGCAATCATCAAAGCTCATCAAACTAAACATTTAAGACCTATACATTAATTAATGATATCTAAATTGAAAAACAATTTCCTTCCACAGTGATAGCAATTAACAGATGAACAAATATATGGAGAGATGAGAAAGTTCTCCCTTGTTATAGTCTGCCAACTAATTAAGATAATTGGAATAACTGAATTAGTAATTTGAAATTTTCACATTATCATAGAAATATTTAATTCTGGTAAGAAATATCAATAGATGGTAAAACTAGAGAGAGCACATAGAATGAGAAATGAGATGCTCCTGCACCCCTAATAGTGTCTCCACATAAAGAATTATTGCAAAGTGGAAAATAGAAATTTTTTGGGAAGAACCTGGCAGACACCATCTGAATCAAATAATCAAAATCAATACCATCATTAATAGAGCACAGGCACTGTGTACTCTCCCATAGGGTGCAAGGAGAAAAACGCAGTGCATTCAGCAATACTCCCATTAAAAACAAAATAACCTGAGTTGGACTTTTAAACAACACATAGTACAAACTGAAGGTGAAAGGGCACTGTGCGAAGTAACTGCTCTGTGATCTTCAAAAAGGGAAAGACTATGAAGCACAAAGAAAAGACTGAGGAAATTTAAGAAAACATAGTATGCGGTACATAATGTGATCCTTTTCCTATAAGGGTTTAAAGGGACAGTTGGTAAAATTTGAATGGGGATTTCTGGTTAAGGGTATATGGAGATGAGCGTGATAATGTGTGCTTATAATCCCGGGTTGAAAGTTTAAGCTCAGCCTGGACAATTTAGCAAGACCCCCGCATAAAATTTTTAAAATAAAAATTAAAAACAGGTTTGGGGTAGATGGACACTTTTTTGTTCTATTTCTGCAACTTTTCTATGCATGAAATTAAAATCAGCTGAAAATTCAACTTAAGGAAAGGAACATGTACTCTTTTTGTGGCTTGCCGAGAGCACTTTCAGTGGGATATTGTTTGGATATTGTTTGGGGGTTGTTTTCATGCTGGAGGCAGAACTCAGGACCTTGTGCATGCTAAGTACATGATCTATCACTGAATTGCACTCCTTCCCAAGATACTACTTTTAAATTGCACCAAGATACTACTTTAAATTGCACCTCAAGTTTTATTTGCATCACCCCCTAATGCATGAGTGCATAAGGGGGTAGAATTTTCTCAATTTGAAGCCTCTCTCCATCTCTCCTTTCTCTCTCTACTTTGACACCTGGCTCCTATTTGCCAGCTACTGCACTTTGGAAGATGATGCAAAATAACAGGTATGGGAAAATGAAGACTAACTCAGTCAAACTTCATCTAACAGGGAATCACATGTTTTTGTAGGTGCTATTTTTATTCTCTGGATGGGAACAATTTCCCTTGCTTCTACAGTTAAATGCAAAGATGATGGAAGTTAAGCTGTGCAACTAATAAGTCAGATATTAATCCTGAGTTCCTTGTTGTTTGAACATGTCTGAGAACTACAAAACTTACCCAGAACTCTTCCAAAAAATACACATGGGTTTAATGAAAAGCCTTCTTGGGGAGATGAGATGAAATTATGTCATTCAATTATTTCCATCTTCCAGTTTGTGATACATTGTTCTGTACAACTCTTAGTGCCATGTGGTTGATCTGTTTACTGACTTATCTTCCATTTATTCTTCAATTCCTAGTCCCAAAACTCACCTAGAATAACGTCTGAGGAACTAGCTGGTAATTGATGTTAAATGATATTTAAAAAACACATTTAGATTTACCATTGAAATTTAATTTGGTGGGGCAAATAGAAAAATGGTTCAGAAAAAAAAAAATCTGAGAAATTTTTCCAAACCATATGGTTGCTTTCTATTGTTGGGGTTTATACTCACCAGTAAAGATTAGCAACCTTGGATTTAACGTTATACCTATTATGTTACATTTTATCAGTATAAATAAGAGTACATAGACGTACAGACACTCAGGTTGAAAAACATACAGAAATGGTTTCTCCTCAAGACATGTGAAGACTTGTGCTCGAAATTCTTAATAACTTAATCCTTTCCTACCTTTCTGTGTAAATTAAATCACAGAAACCTGGACTCAAAGTCCAAAGTTTTGTATTCCCAAAATGACATTGCTTAACATGTCTGAAATCTTTCTTATTTACCTCGCAAGCAGAGACTTTGATCAAATCTTTAAATATTTAGCAATAGTTTAGATTTTTTAAAAAAAAAACATTTTCAATGTTGTCTTTTTCTGGATTGGGATTCTAGCCAAAATCCACCAACAGGGCTTCAGTGGAAAGATGCAAGTGCTCCTACTTTAACAAAACCTATCAAGAGCTGTGTACACATTTGCAAAGGGCATAAGGAATCATCTCCGGGGGTTAGGGGTGTGGCTAGCCATGTTTAGTCACTTTAGGTCAGTATTGAAACACCTTTGTATAGATACAGGGATTCTCTGCTGATAAATAGCCTTTATCTTGAAAAGGCTAATTATCTACATTCTGTATTTTCTATCTTTATCTAGGGCAGTTACTCTTAACCTTGGCTGAGCATTAGAATCTCCCAATTCTTAGAGACCATACCTGGGGCACTAGTCAAGAACAACTGAAACAATTTCTGGGAGACTGCTTTCTATATTTTCATTCTACAATTCCTGATCTCTTGTGAATTACCTCCTAGGTTTTATTAGTGCACTCATTTATTTATACACACTTAACCCCTTACTTTATGGTTAATCGAGGAATTTAAGAAATAAACAAGACTTCACTACTGCCTATAAGGAGTTCACAGTTTACAAAAACCTATGGTACAATGCCACAAATAAAGTGCATAATAGAATAAACCATAAGGTACCTGTGTTTTCCAGCTTGTACAGATGTAAGGGTAAAAATGAAGATACACCACATAGTTGCCAAAGCAAGAAACCACAAACAGCATGATGTACTGAACAGCTGCAAAGAGTTAAATGTTGTTGGTGCACAATATTTCAGGTGAGGAAAGGCAGTGAGCAGAAAGAGTAGGAACTAGATTACAAAGGCTCTTGAGTGTTATGTTAAGGAGTTGGAACTCATCTTGAGAGTAGTGGAAGGGAAGCACTATGTCAGATTTTATTTTGAAAAGAATTTTAACAGTGGAATAGGAAACACATTGGGAGTGAAAGGATAATACTTGGGCACAAAAAGAGATTAGAAGAAACAAAGCCATAATATTTCACTGAGTAAATTCATCTTCTGTTCATCACCATGTAAACTCATCTTCCATTCCACTTTCTAAATCAGTGTGGTCTTTGGTAGTGTTT